ATCAGACATTATCAATATTGAAAACATATTTTCTTCGCATCACGTAAGAAATGAAATATATACATTAGAACCAGGAAAAGGACTCGAAGAATAAGCCAAGCCCCAGTTGTAATACGAGACTGGGACAACAGCTCAGTCCATTAGTCAGGGGTGATGAGGGAGGGGGGGCTCCGTGTCAATACATGAATATGACAGCTATCTGTGAAAACGACCGTGCCTCCGGAACCAAGAGTCCTGAAAGTACATTCGTCTCCCACATATCCCCCGGTGGCGTGATATCACTGGGTTTTTCAAGAGAAATAGTCACTCTGTATCGGGTTCACCTTTTTTCATATCAAGCAATGTCTATTTGCTTTTGTCGCACGGTGACTGATAGGCACCAGCGATATTGCCATTTATTTTCACCAAGGTAACAGGAGAGTGCATCACTCATGGGTTTTAGTTTTACTTTATTAGATTGCATTTTAATTTTGTTGGTTTTTCCAAACTCGTTACTGGAAAATTAAGAGTGAAGGTACTTGTCACCATCTCCCGGGGGGATTGGATGATCGATGAAGATGTTTATGCTTCGTACATTAATTTTCAGTACACTGGTGGAAATTTTTGACTGAATTTTCCGGTTCACTTGAATTTTTCATTGTATTATGATTTTACTGACATTTCAGTGAATTTCGGAAAATTTAAGTGTTTAAAAATTACGGAACGCTCCGGAAAAATTCCGTGACAGTTGCGTAAAACTTCCTATAACCACATTTCGCTCCGGAATTAGGGAAAAGATACGTAATTTTTATTGAATATTTCTCTCCGTGTGCGCAAAACATGTGGAATTCCACAATTGTTCGATATTTAAATCGAGTTCAACGGCTATTTTTTGTAAATTACCAGTCAACAGTCCATAAAAATTAGTTTTTTTCTAACACTGCGGAAATTGGTCAGATTATCAAATTCTAAACATTGTCAAATTCTTACCTGAAGTGCAAGACAAACTCTGCAGTGACAGAAAATAGTATATTTCAGCACGTGTGGGGCAATTTCGTCTTTAACGTGTGTGGGGTTTACACCATGAGCCGAAGGCGAGTGATGTAACCACACACGTTAAGGACGAAATTTCCCAACAAGTACTGAACAAAATTTATCAAAATATATTTATTAAAAATAATTTTATCAAGAGAATTTCATTTGAACCAACTATCACTTGGTTGTTAATTTTCAAATAAACATGATTTCATAGTGAATACCAGTTATCTCTTCTTCAATACATTTGATTGGGAGAAATCGAACTTCTCTAGAATTGAAGTTCCTTTTATTTATCGCAATAATGAGAATATTTGATTTCTTTCCAGCCAACAGTTTGCCAACTCCAAAAATTCGTTGGTTTACTCAAAAATCAAAATTATTCTCATGACTATATACGTTGTAATCTCAATCAACACGATCATACGTTGTTCCAAGTCAATTATAATTGAAGTGAGCATTTCGTATGTCGAATCAGGATGACTATTGTGACGCGGAAAAAGCTTTGAGATTGTAGTAAGATGTCGTTGAGTTGAAAGAAGTTTATATTTCTTGACTAAAAAAATCGCATTAGTTTACAATAACAGAATCACAGATTACGGTAATTCAACACAAACTTGGATATCATAAATTTTGTTCAATGTGATGTACGGAAAGCTCAATTTAAACATCGGCTTCATTCGAGAAATAACATTCAATTCATTCCTCAATGTACTCATCTCCTAGGTACGAATTTTTGATCAATTCATGAGAGTAGAAAATTTCTCGACTGGAGATTATATTAGGTTACAAAAATTGAACTTTTCCATTTAACTTGACATCAAGAACGGTTTTATTTGATTCAAGTAAATGTATCTCATTAAAAAATAATTTATATTCACCGTAAGATCTTATTTACTTGAAATTGGTCAAGTATATAATACTTGCTACGAGAAAGAAATATCTTTAAAATAATTTTTTCTATCAGAGTCGTGGAAAGTCACGACAAAATTCGGGGCAAAAGTGTCTCAATTTAAGACGTCTTTTTTTCCTATAAAAATTGTGAATCAGTAATTAAAAAAAATAGAATTGTAAACGGGAAAAAATTGTTCAACTGATATAATTTTTGCTTCGTCGATGAACACGTTTTCATTACGAGAACAGCAAACTTTCTCCGAATTATCGCATAAAAATTCCCATACTTTTCTGTCCATTAAGCTCAGTAAATTCCCGAATCACTCCATAGTTCCTCGATTCTCTAATACCTCTTCGAATTCAGAATGTAAAAAAAACCTAAAGTCACTGTGGAACCATCAAAAGACTTAGTTTTTTCACCCCCCAGACCTCTCGGCTCATCGACTCAAATGAATTCATCAAGCCAATCTCTCTTTGTACCGTTCAATTCCTGTGACATTGGGATGTACAAAAATTCTCCCCCAACGAAAAATCTCCCCCGTGTGTTTTTTTGTTATCGGAAAACACTTGCGCTTGAAAAATGAATGCCCGCTGAGGGATGTGTAAAAATGAAGCATTGAAAAAAAAAAGTGGAGAATGAAAAAAAGCCTCGAGTCATCGATCTCGAGATCCGTCGATCCGTTTGTCAACCCGGTGCGCGGGCTATGTTACGAGGGTCAGAGGATTGGGGGGATTGTACTGTGGACGTTACACTTTGCGCAGCCGAGACCAAGCCCAACCCCAACTCCTCCTACCCCCCCCCCTTCCCCGCCTGCCACGTTACTTCGTCAATGCAGTCGAGTTATCCGACACGTATTGTCAACGGTGATATTTTATTTACGACGTTATATTGCGCCCACGCTGAATCCATAATGTCTGGGTTGGCTCTTTGCGATGGGAGGGATGCATTTTCACGTCAACACGAGGAAAATAACTCTGAATGTAGCTGAAGGCCTTCGGGTGATAGTTCTTATATGAAGTTGCAATTAATTGAGTGAAAAAATCCAGAGAACAAATTTTTTGAGGGATAGACCATTGACTGTTAGCGAATTTAGTGAATGTAAAATCGGGAAATTCAGTGATTTTAGCATCAATTTTCAGTGGCATCGTGAGTAACTTTCAGGGACATCATCCCTACACTGAGAGAATAAATTATTTCTGCCGAAAAAGGATATCAGTAGCGAAGTGGTAAAACGGGTTTAGTCGACTCATCTCCCAGTTGGGTTTTTGACGAATATTTCCAAATCTAAGGGAGATAGCGAAATTTTCGTAATCACGTTGGTTGTAGCACTCAATCGGCTCTATCAAAAAGGTTATAACAAAAATTTAGCTATCGCCCTTAGATTACGAGATATTCATTGAAAACTGGTCAATGGTCAAAATTGACTTGTACCGTTTTACTACTTCGCTACAGAATTGTTCTCATCAAACATTTATAGGGGAGGGTGGGGTAAAATGGACACTTTAGACTTTTTTAAAACTATTTATAACTCGGAAACAAATTTATCAATTGAGCTCAGTTTAGGCTCGTCATAAAGGGAAAGAGTTGTTCTTTGTATTGAAGAAAAATTATTAAATTTTATCAACATTTCAACCTCATTAACATTTTTTAAAAAGTCAAAAGTGTCCGTTTTACCCCAACCTCCCCTATGTTTTTCGGGTAAATACATTTGTTCTACCGAGAATTATATGAGCCTCCGGTTTTATCAAGTGAATGCTATTGAGTAGTGTATGTCTTTGTCCAATAAACACTTATAATTTCCGTGGATCAAATGATAATGTCAAGAGGAAACTACAGTTTTCTGCCGAAAACTGTCTCATTGGCAAAACTAAATGAATTCGAGGGAACAATTTTTTTGGGAAAAAAATATTCCCAATTGTTAAATTATCCTGAGAATTTTCGCAGGATAATTGAACTGAAAAATCAAGTATTTTATTGATTTCCAGATCATTTGAACAGAAAATCAATGGAATATTTCATTTTTCAATGACAAAATTTCCTGAAATTTCAGTGGAACTTGAACACGATAAAAATTTCCGGAATTTGGCACGGAAATTTTTTAAGAATGTGATTGTCATTCAATAGCTTATACTTTACGTAATATTCTCCCGTGGAACTTATAGTTTTTCGGCAGAATGAATGTTTTCTCTCGTGTAATTTTCAGAGTAATGTTAAAGATTTTCAGAGACCAATCTCTAATTTTTAGAAATCTATGCCAAAATTTCAGTGAAGAATAAAATCACTGACGCAGACGTATCCCTGAAAATCAAAAACAAATCATTTTGCCACATTCGTGCACAATTCACAAATCGACATGCTCCGCCTCCAGTTTCCCCATAAAAAATTCAAATCCAGTACAAGGATGCCAACAAAGTCCACAATGAGACTTTGCCATCCGCCGAAGGTCCACGGAGGGATGGATAATCTAGCCGGTCAAAGGGAAACCATCCCATAAACAAGAGACAACTATTCTATTACCAACTGACATCCGATACAAACTTGGCTGAGCGATCACGGCCTTTGGCTCGCTCATCTCCTTCCTTCCATCACTCCATCAGGATATCGTAAGAGGGCCAGAGGCAGGATGGAGACAGTGGGATGTTGACGTTGTTGCACCAACGTGATGATGAGTAAAAGAGACGAAAAGCGTTTCGGTACATGCGAATAATGGGATCCGATGGAGAACCTTCGGGGGCCGAGAGGTACATTCAGGAGATTGTGACGGCAGGAGGGGAGGCCACTGAGACTTTATAGCTCATAGTGTCTCTACGGCTTCTTGATTTATTACCGAGTTAACCCCTCGAGTACGAAACCCGTTCGAGACATTCGATATACCTCCCCCTCTCTTACACTCCCACCCCCGCGTTATCCTACAGTCGATTATTACGTTGCAAATCGAAGTACCATCCACCATCTCCCGCCCCCCACCCGGCTGCTTTCCTTCATCTCTGACTTTAGACTATAACCGGAGAGTTTAACGCGGATCGATACTTTGGAAATCATACACACGGGAAGGTATTACTGTATCAACTAGTGGAGTTTGACTACTTACCTCTTGTCTTTTGCTCGTCCTGTAGCTGTCGCTCCAGGCTGTCCTTCACCTCTCGTTCTCGGAGGACGTCCATCTTGAGTTCAGCTGTGTGCAGAAGAAATTGAAAATATTAATTTTTTTTGTTGGGTTTGTAATGTTGTACGTGTGAGGAGATTGTTATTTAATTAACGGGAGGTTCACTTCGGGAAATAAACTTCAAAAACACTATTTTCCGCGGGATTTTTCCGCAGGAATCCGATTTTGTACGGCAAATTCGTCTCCGACCGCCAAAAATTAGAGATTAGAATTTTTTTGTCTCGAAAAATCAATTGTGGAAAAATCCCCAGCGAATTTTTTTTTTAAATCGTTTTTCAAATATGATCACAAATTTTCGCTTCTTAATTATGAAAAATGCGGGAGAAAATAGATTTTGAACTTCATTGGTCAATTTTGAAAGAAGTCATTTTCAATAGATCGATTATATCTTCGGAAACAAGTTATAGGTATTAATTAGAATGAGTGAATTTCCACAGAAGAATGGAAAATGAATCGGAAAAGTAGGGAAGAAGATTCAATCAAATTGTGAAATTTCCATCTCACTCCCACTGAAAAGTCATGGATTTCCGTGAATTCTACTTAAAACTTGAAATTTCAGAACCATTTTTTCCCTAAATCCGATTCAATGTCTCTCTCATGAGATTTATTACAATATCTTTCATGAAATTTCAAAAAATTTCTAACAGTGTAGAGTAAAAAAAGGCTAGGTAGATGCATGGGGACCATTAAACATCGAGTTAGTATCCCAACCAACTGAGATGGGGCTTTGGTTGGTTGTGTGGTTTTCGGGTTTTTTCTTCAGATATTAATAAAAAAGCTTCTCTGAAAATTCAAGTAAAGTCCTAATTCTTTAGTGGTAAGAAGACTGGTAGGAAACTCCATAATTTACATGAATTTTCAAATGAAAATGAATATTCACAAATGAAATTCCGAGAAATCAGAAATTCAAGGAGAGATTCCTTTGAATTTTTCTCATTTTTCATCAATTTTCCCGAAATGATGAAACTGAAATTTACAATGCCCCCGGATTTTTCCATAAAATTATGAATTTTCAAAGATAAAATTCCTTCAAATTTCAGTAGAAATGTTACTTATTAAAAATTTCCACGATTTACTGGAAATTTCAGTGGAAATTGTAACGCCACCAGTTGCCTTCTGGGCCACTCTGGTATCAGAATCAACACCGAATTTGTTACAGTGTGATGTCATTAATTTCCGCTCAAGAATTTCCAAAATTATTTCTCAACTCATGAATTTCACAAAATCATAAGAAATGTTCGGCCAGCGTTGGCGTCACGACAGCCTTTCACTGTTCTCCATCCAAAGTTTTTGAAGAATTCTCCTGACCGCCGAACCGATAAGTGACTAAAAGAGAGAAAAGGGGGGAATTGACGTTATAGGCTGCGAAAACGTCGTGCGTTACGAGGCTACCCGGCTCATTACCCCTGAACGTAATTCGAGGATCGTTGGACGTGCCCCCCAGTGGGGGAGAGGATAACTGGGGAAAAAAGAGAGAGGCTCTAAACCCTCCTCACAGCTTTTTTCACCCGGATCCAACAGTGTCCCCGAGTGTGGTGCTCTTCTTTTTTTTCATCCCCTCGAGTTTAAACCGAATTAGCCCGCTTGATTTAGACTCCGGAAATGCTCTATCGGGTTACGTCAGTGAAAAGTGATTTTCCAGGGGGTGAAGGGGAAGGTTACACGCCGGGAAAAAACCGAGTACCATTATTAGCTATTAAAGAGCGACCCTTTGTTCAAGTAAAAAGGCGCAATAAAAACCAGAATTACCTCATTTTCCTGGGATGGAATGGTCTTCATTTGAATATTAAACTTCTTGCGAGTTGTCTTAAAGGGGAAGGAAGTTTATTTGAGGAGAAAGTAACAATTATATTGAATTTTTTATCACTCAGGGTTACATCACGAGAGCTTGTCCGAAACTGGGGGAAATTTTGAGAAATTTATGGAAAATATGGTAGTAATTCTCATGAGGGTGACATTGAATCCGATTTAGGGGGAAATGTTTATGAAATTTCAAGTTTTAAGTACATTTCAAGGAAATTCGTGAGTTTTCAGTGGTAGCGAGATGAAAATTTCACAGTTTGATTGAATTTCCGATGAAACATGAATATTCAGAAGCAAAATTAGATGAATTTTCAATTTTTCCCTGATTTTTTTGTTTTCACGGACTAATTGAAGTGAAAAATCACAGATTTTATTGATTTTCAAATCATTCGAATAGACATGATATCCTGAAATTGCAGTAAATATGAAACATCATAAAAATTTTCGAGATTCAAACGAAAATTTCTAATGTAGACATTATTGATTATTTTTGATTGAAATTTCCAGTCCACTTCTTGGACATTTTTATGACATTATATGTAGTTAGGGGAAAATTTCACGGAATTTCGTCATTGAAACTTTAAAATTTTATGGAAGAATCAATGGAAACTGGAAATTCTAGTTCAATTATTCCCTGAAAGTTAACAGGAATCAGTAAAATGTAGGTTAACATATTCTGAAATTTTCAATTAATTAAAAAATTCACCGTTATTTGGTACTAAATATTCAGACTGTGCTTTAAACTTCAACTAAGTTTGAATTTCAAGTAAAATGTGGAATGGGAAATTTTATTGAATTTTCAGTGAAATCTCAAATTTCATGATTCTTCTCTCCCTGAATTGAATTCAATGTCACCCCCAATTTTTGTCTAGCAGTGCACGTATACGACACATTAATGCACTGAATAAAAATAATGTTATGCAGAAAATCATGATAAATTGCGGGATACTCTGAATTCTTGCTTGTGTATAATCATGTCTGCTAACAACTCAACATCAAACTTTTCTACTCTAAAATTTATCTATTACTCCAATTCAACGCCGTACCCATTTCCTTCGACCCCAAACTTGCTGAGATTCGAAATGGCTAATTTAGCACGGTTGCTCCCATGGGGGTGGAGACGGCGGAAACAGAGTTGCGAGGGGGGAGGGAGAAGAGAACCCAAGGAGAGCCTCCTCTGGGCCTCCCCAAGAATGAGGAGGAACCCAGTGAGGGAGAAATCAGTGAGAGTTACGGGTATTAGAATCACGGAAGGGGGTGGTGGGGTGGGCGCAGTGCCTCCTGAGAAAGGGCCAGAATCCTCAATGTCTTAATATAATTCTATTAGAGGTAACTATGCGAGCACTGGCCCTGCCCATCGTTGGATTTAATCATGGATCCAGCAAGCCGTACGATATTCTCCTCCGTAACGTCTAGTGTATCTCAAGGTTGGACTTCTCGTTGTCAAATTAACCTAACCCCAATTGTTTGACGATGAAATTGAATACATCGGTAAATTTTTTTTTCTGCATTTCCCGGTGCACTTCTAGGAAATTATCATCAACACGGAGAGAAATATTCAGTAAAAATTACGGAATTCACAATTCGCTCACCGATTACGGAATCGACTCAGAAAATTTAAGTGACGGCATCGTAATTTTTCACAGGAGATTCAGATCGAAATTACGCGCGGGGAAAATTCCGTGACAGTTCCGTAACATTTCCTACAACCACATTTCGCTCCGGAATCACGGAAAAGACACGTAATTCTTATCGAATATTCCTCTGTGAAATGAGAATTTCGTCCCTCCTCGGTTCGCCCAATCAGCGCAGTATTCGAGGTCACATGACACCTTCACGGTGATTTTATTTTGAGAATTTACCAGGCTACTAGTGATTTATCAAAATGATAATTCCACAGTTGTCTGGCAATTGTTCTCTCTGATTTTGACATTTCAATTTGTGAAAAAGCTTGTGTGAAGTTGTGTTCATTTGATTCGAGATAAAGAGTCATTCAAAATGAGGCGATTCCACCGGAATTCTTTGCGAGAAAACCATAACAAGATTAACTATTTTTTTTACTTTTGGGAGATGTTCGTGTAAGGCGAGTTCAGAAGGAAGGAAATTCTCCTCCGAATTCCCCTCGACCTTCAAAATTCATCGGATATTTCCCGCAAGTTTTCTTGCATCAGCGATCGGAATGAGTTTTGCAGAAAAATCAATCAGTCTTTGGGTATTACAATTGATAATTTCACCGAAACTTCAAGGGATTTCATCATTGACAATTCACTATTTGATGACAGACAAAATTTTCAAGGTTTTGATTTTCAGATCATTGTCAGGTCCTGACAATGTCATTGTCATGTCCTGACATGTCGTTGATTTTCAGAAATTTATCCTCAGTTATTAGGGAATCGCGATTGTGAAATTCTACGAGTGCGAAATTCTGAAATCTAGTAATTTCGTCACCAATTTTTAGTGATATTTCACTGTTAGAAAATTACTCTTGAAACTTCAAGTAAACAATCGTGAAATTTTTAACAACGACAAAGGCAATTGCTTGAATATTCAAGGGATTCTCAATTTCCGGGTCCATATGACACTGGAAAATATAAAAAATTTGGAAAATTCAGGGAATAATTTTTCTGAATTCTCAATCTATTGAAAATTGCATTTTCGCAATGAGTTTGAAAATTGAAGCTTTCATTGAAATATCAATGATCGCTTAACATAAAAAACCCAATTTCCATGAATTGTCAAGAAAAATGAGAAATTTGATATAACAATAGAACTTGGCGAAGTCGATGGTCAATAGAAATCATTTCACCGATTTTTTCACAGAAGATAAAAGGACGGTGAATGTTTCAGACAATAATTTGAAACTCGTACCCAAATATAATGTGAAAAATTGAAGCATTTATCCCAAAACGCGAGACATGATAATCTAAACGATCGCCACAAAGGTGGAAGTAGAGAAATACGGGCTGAAATTGGCAATAACAGGATACCACTGGTGTGGAACAACCCCCCGCGGCTGTTGGACGCCAACTTCCTATTCTGGTTAGCATTCAAATTGAATATTCGTGGCTGGACGGTCGTCAAGAGTTAGTTGGCATTAGCGTACCACTGGAAATTGCTAGCATATAGGAGCCACCCCGTAATTCAAAACTTCGGTTGGATTTTCATCTGCAGGAGAAAAAGCCGCACGTGGAGAAAAAATTTCAGGA